GGGAGGGAGAGGGTAAGGGAACGTTCTAGATTTAAACAGACTAAGGAGCAACGACTAGCAAATAAATTCAAAGCATGCTGCCTGACAGAATCCCGGATGCGAGAGCAGCTTTGAAGGACAATTACGGAAATTTGAACATGGAATGTACATTAGGCAGCATTTCCCAAATGTGGTAACTGCATTGTGGTCATGCAGAAGAACACTTAAGTATTTTTGGATTAAAAGCCAGAAGGCAACAATGCTCCGGGTACTAATAACTAGTTAGCTCCAGATCAGCATCTTAATAGTAAAAAATATATAAAAGCGTAGTATTTCTCTTCGTAAAGAACCAAGTTAAGACAAAAGACCACTCCCCTCCCTCTGCATCACTTCTCTACGACGGCACAGAGCGGGCAGAAACGCTCTCTGCCAGCACGAGCGCGCCACGCGGGACGTCACCGCACACTGCGGGCGGCACCTCCCAGCTCGGGGCCCAGAGCGATCAGAGACCGGGGCGTGCAAAGAGGAGACGAGGCCCAACTTCCACGGCGCACAGGTGAGGCAACCTGCTCCCGACCAGCCTGCCGCCGCCTCGGAAACGAACCTGTGTCCCCTCGCGACCTCTGCCCCGCCCTCCGCCGCCACTCGCCAACCCGGCCCAGCAAGCACCGGCTCCGGACCGCCCCGCGACCCGCTCGCAAAACTTCCCGCTTCCTCCCCCCGCAAGCCAAGCCCGCTCGCTTACCACGGCGCCCGCCCCTTGCGGGCCGTTCGGGGTCGCATCTGCCATGACGGACTCGCACGCGCGTCTGCGACGCTCCGATCGCGAAGAGAAAAAAGGGACAGAACGTCAGCGCCGGGGCCGCGGCCCGGGTAACCGGCTTTCCCGTCTTGTGCCGCACGCAGGCCCGCTGCGCCCCGACGGAACTCCCAGCCGACACCGAGAGAGGGCCTCGCTCGCCCCGGTGCAGCCGACCGGACCGAGGGCACCTGCAGCGGCCGGGAAGTACCTGTTCGGCACCGCCGAGATCAAAGTGCGGTTTCCAGAAAGACCGGAAGGAAGGAGGAGCTTCGGTTTGAGGCCTTAACTAACGCCGCCGGCTCCAAGTTCCGGCAGAACCCGGAAGTGCTCCTTTCATTTCCGTGGGGAAGAGGCGGTGACTTAGGGGAAAACGGGGCGGTGCCCTGAGGCATGACGGGAAGTGTAGTTTTTCCCCTCGTGGCTGTCCTACAAGCCGATTGGCTCCGGGAACTAATGAGTGAGGCTGGAGAAGCAGTTTTGGCCTCATCTCCAGCCCACAAGATGATTCCCGTCCCCGTGTCCAAACCGTTAACTCTCTCTGCTCCTAATATAAAGGCCTCAGAAACATCTTCGATCCCTCCTTCCAGACCCTGGCTGAATCCCATGGTTCTACTTCTAAAGTTACTTCTTTCAACAAGCCCTTGCGAGGCCTGGCACGGAGAATACCAGGTTGCAGGCGACGCAGGCTGCAGGAGAGAGACAGACAAACGGGAATCACGGCATAGCGCTTGTGTCATAAGAGGCTGGTGTTGTAACTGGCTCCATAAGCAAGAAGACGTTTTTTTACAGAATTTTAGTTTTCTTTGTAGTTCCCTTATGTTTCAAGTTCCCAGGCCAGTAAGATTTGCTGACCAGGACTTTGTCACTTTCTGTTGCACCGATGCATTCCCTTTCCAGTTTCTTTCCCAGAAACGGCAGAGCCTCCTTGAAGCCACGTGATAACTACAAAGCCTTACACCACCTGTTCGTCCAGGGAAGACGAGATCAGTGGCACCCACCACAGACTGTGCCCAAGGACTCGCTGAGCATCCTACTCCCTGCATCCTGCCTGGCCTAAGCACAAGGCTGAAAGAATGACCAGTGTTAACCCCTAGCTGGTTATGCTACTAAAATCCCCACCCTGGGAGGGACTTAGCCGCCATTTTTTGATCTTGGGATGTATGTAATAGCATGATTTCTCACTGTGCTTTTGTGCCCTGCATTCCACCCCAAACATGTAATGATGCTCACTCCCCTCCCCTCATTGCACCCCCAGGAAAACCCCTGACCTTCCTGGTTGGGCAGGTGGATTTGAGGCAGCCCATACCTCTCACCTCCCAGTTGATGGTCTCCTGCAATAAATCCTTTCTTCTTTGACAATCCTCCTTGTCTCAGTAACTGGGTTTCTGTGCAAGCAACAGTGAACCCTCCTTGTGGGTTTGTTAGCAATTTAATCACAGGGAGCACAGAGGAGAGTGCCTAAATCAGAAGGGGTTTGGGAACATTTCTTGGAAAAGGTAATTCTGGCCCTAAATCTTGAAGGACAAGAAGCTGGATGAAAGCGGAAGGGATTTCAGAATAACAGAAAGTACATGAAATAACAGGACAGCCAGAGGACTAGTTCACTTTGACCAGAACGAAGATGCCAGTGGGAGCAGGGGAGGGGGGATTGCAAAATATTTGGGCTAGAGAGGCAGGCAAGAGTGTGCTAAAAAAAGAATCTGAACTTGACCCTGAAATCCAGAGAACCATGGTACAATTTTAAGCAGAACTGTGAGATTTCACTCTGGCAACAGGGTAAAGAATGATTTGAGGGGCAAACCAGAAACTAAAAGCCAGGTGATTAGTTGGGAGGCCATTACATACATCTGGGAGAGAAACGATGAGACTCTGCATTGAGGCAGTGCTGTGGGGCAAGAGAAGAGAAAAGATGACTTGGAGGTAGCTTCTAATCCCAGCTACTCAGCAGGCTGGGGCAGGAGGACTTATTGGGCCCAGGAGTTTAAGGCTGCAGGGAAGTATGATCCTGCCGCTGCACTCCAGCCTGGGCAACAGAGTGAGACCCTGTCTCTAAAAGAAAAAGGTTTGGTGACTGACTAGGTTTAGGTGTTCAGGAAAGGGAATGTCATCTGCTGAGATCTAGAGAAGAGGTATAGTTTTGTGTTACGTTAAATGTATGGATGATATTTTAATCTCCCCCTTTCATTGCATTTGTTTCTTGACAATTGGAATTTGTCTTCTTTATTTCCTACTGTATTTCTTCACTTTCTTCCTTGATCATTCTATTTGGTAGTGAGATAACTTCTCCAATATACTTGGTTATCTTAGTCAGGACTCTCTTGATTGCGAGTAGCAGAAATTAAGCCCAAACTGACTTATGGGGAATAAAAGGCAAAATAAGATGACTACTTTGAAAAGACCAGAGGTAGATGATCTTTCAATAGGCAAGACTAGGTTCAAGAGCCCAAATGACATCAAAGAAATTTGTGTTCTCCTCTCTGCTTCCCTCTGAGTTAACTTCATTGTCAAGCTGATGCTCCCTTAACTTTTGTCCGTATTCCACCAGGTTAGCGAGACCAACCTGTAGAAAGTATCTCTAGCCCAATACTTTCAAATAATGATCCAGGTTTGACTCCTATTGAATCAAATTTGGTCCCAAAAACATTTTTTAAACCAATCATTTGGTTTAAGAGACAGATAGTCCAGGCTTGGACCATTCACCCACTCTCGTTTGAATGGGTGATACTGAGGGGAATGTACTTGGGATTATCCTTATCTGAAACTCTACGTGTGTTGCTATAAAAAGAACAACATATGGATTCCAGGAAAAGCAAAAACAATATAATTCTACTACAATCATTATTTTTTAACTGATGCTTTTTATATTTTTGCATTTTTTCCAGTGCCTTTCAATTAATTTCTACTTGATAAGAATCAGGGTCAATTCCACAGGGTCAAAGTCCATTCCTAAGTGTTACCTATCTTATTTTAATTGAAGGTAACAAAGTCCTGATGTAACACACAAACCCTAAAGCTGAAGCAGTAGCTTACCAAGAGGCCATTATTCCTTTTGGCTAGAAATTGGCTGATGGAGCAAGAATTGATTCTAGAGTAATTGATGACTTGGCTCTCCCCCCGTTTTCAAGGGGGATTCTACTGAACCAACAAGTCATCAATTTGCTCATTTCTGCTTCCATCAGTGATTAATAATTCTGTGGTTGGATAGGGCGTCTTTGCAATTGCTAAGTGCTGAGTCATTCATCTTATTAGTAATATATTCCTACTTTTGTTTGCTGCCTGAAAAGTAAGGTCCCTAAACTCTGCAGATATAACCTGAGAATGAGGTCCTAATTAAGAAATAAAGATTATTGTTACTTTTCAAAATTGGTAATGTAAGGAAAAATTTAAGACTTCGAATGAACGCACTTTCAATGGAATGCTGAAGATTCCAGGGATTATCTGATCCTGCGTAGAAGCTTCTTTGTCTTTGACTAGGCTATTTTTAAACTCCACAAATTGTAGATAACTGATAGCCACGCAACTATGTAATATGTTAGTTTTCTATTGCTGTCGTAACATGATTATCACAAGGTCATCATCCCCTATAAAGATGACCAACGGTTTGTCTCTAAATTGCCTGTATGGTGGGGAAAGATCACTTTGCCAAGTGATTGTACCGATGATCGGTGATTAAAGTTCTCTGTTCTCCACACCCTGCAAGTCTGTGGATCACTTTCCCTCCCCGTTGTTCACGTAGAGCTGATTTCAGGCCCTGATATCTGCATTGCTTGGTTATTCGAAAACAACATTTTAATGCAAGATTTTATTGAATGGGTCTGGTTTTGCATCAGTGTCAGTCAGTGCGGGCTGCCCTAACAAAATACCGTAGCCTTCTTTGGATGGCCTAAAGAACAGAAATTTATTTTCTCACGGTTTTGGGGGGGCCTCACCTACATCTAATGACTCTGAAAGGCTCCATCTCCAAATACCAGCACATCAGGAGTCAGACTTCAACGTATGAATCTTGGAAGGACGATTCAGTCTGTAGCAATCAAGAAACCCACGTGTACCAGGTTTTTCTTTCTTCCAGAAGTTTGTAGAAGATGATGGGGTCATGAAAAGAGAGGAGAGGAATGTATCCAACTGCCCCCGAAACTTCTGAGCTTCTAGATGTGTCTTGACCAACATGATACTGCCTCTTCCTGTGGTTTTGCTGAACCACATTCAAGCTTTCCTCTCAAACAGCTAGATCAAAATTTTCTTCTAAGAAACACTCTCAATAATATAATTGGAATTAACTGTACCATACAAATATTTGTTAATTTTTAATACCAAAAGAGTTGTTAGAGTTCTAATTGTGTCTTTCCCAAAAAGATATGTTGAAGTCCTAATCCCAGTATTTCAGAATGGAACGTT